CCTGCAAGATTTCACTCCGGCGGTACTGGGCTTTAAAGGTTCTGATTAGCTCCCTGACAATACTAGTTGCAGCCTGGCAGATTCATGAGTATTGCAAGAAAAGAAGGACAGAAAAGCGACTTGAAAAGAAAAAGGAATCCAGCGTAACTGAAGACAACGCTTTGACAGCTCATGTACAAGGAGACTGAGACATCCTATTTTCTTCTTGATTGGTAGTCGACGGTCTGGTAGCATCTGGCGAACCATTCTCCTCGCGGCTTCTGTGCCCTCGCCCGCCTTACGGCACTGGTTTCACTTCATGTAAGAGAATCCAAGACAGTCTGGGATTCAGGATTGTCCTCGCCGTTGATTCCGGATTCCAATCGTTAGTGGGATTCTGGATTCCTTGAGCTGTTTTCTGGATTTAAAAGCCCAGGATTCCGCATTCTACAAGCAAAATTTCCCGGATTCCAGAATCCAGATTTCCATACATGGGGCGACATGTTACATGATTGGTATCATGATGAGGTCGATGAGGTGTTTCAAGTATTAATACTTGTTGTAAATTACCATTAATAGAGAGAGGATTAGCATCAACAAATAATTTAACAAGGAGGTACTAAAGACAAAAGGGAGAAAATAGACATGTACAGGAAGAGTTAGCTCTGAAATGTTTTGTGCATTTGCTGCTAACCTTTGCCTTTCTTTTGTTTTGCTGATGAGGCAGTTGGCATGAATTGTATCTGATTTCCGTGAGTACGAAAGTAGTTCAAAAATTGCTCCGAGCTTTGCCTTCAGTCATAACAGGAACTTTTTTCCGTGGATGAAGAAGTTTAGTTTGACAAAGTTGGGAGAACTAAATAGTGTTCATGAAAAAAGAATTAGTAAAAGTAACGACAGCCATCCCAAAAATGATCAGTGTTGTCGGGAGGAAGAACAGCGGCCGTTTCGAAACACAATAAATGTTGAGATCACAGCCTGCTTGTGCTCGTAAAAGTGTGTAGCAAGGATGGCACTTAGGCACCCGATATTTTTCGACCCTATTTTGCTTATTCTCTCTAAGCTAGAGTACTTAAGTCCGAGAAACAGTACAAATGTAAGAAAACTAACTTATGTTACCTCGGACGGAATAGAATGAAAACAGGTTTGCTTATCATATAACAGAACTTTTATTAAAACAATTATAGACTCAACCTAAAATAAGAATCACAAAGATCACTCGCTTCATCGCATAGTTATTTGATCTAAACGATTACACGATTTACGCAAAGTCCGTTCATTGTCTTTGACTTTACTTCCGTTAATTACATACTTATAATGGTGTTTTTGTTGTTGCTGCTGTTGTCGCTGTTTTATGAAAATTACACTAATAATAAATTCTATAAAAGGCGTTAAGAAAAATTATCCTCTTGAATTAAATGGTTTTAATGTGTCTTTCTCTCCCGAGGGTTGCTTTCGAACCGTTTAATTATTATTTCCAAGTTCGAAACGCACATAAGTAACTAAAGGGTGTTGGACCTTAAAAGGCCGGAAAACAAGTTGCTTTATCAACTGCAGGAAAGGTATGTTTTGCTCCGTCAAAACATTACAGAAAAGCACACCAAGCATAGATGAAACGGTATTGATTGATAGGGTAAGTGACGAGTATCGCTGTAACAGCAAAGATCGTGGGAACGGGTCTTTTGTGTCATAAAAGAGGCGTGCAGCAAACTGTGATGAACCAAAACTTGGGTATTTTATAATACAATGTCGAGGAAGATTAACTTTCTTTCGCACTAATATTTATTTTGCCGTCAAACTTCTCTTAAAATGTTCACGGTTATAAATTTTTGAAATTTGCTCTCTGAGCATTTTGTGTGAAAGAAGGAAAAGATACTATTGACCACTCCAGAAAATACCATAACATACCATAATGCTCTTTGTTTGTCACCCCAAATTTTTGCATAAGCATTGTCTTCAGTTTCTCTTGGGAGTTAAAATGGCCCCAAGAGAAACTGAAAACAATGCTTATACAAAATTTTGGGGTGATAAACAAAGAGCATTATGGTATGTTATGGTATTTCTGGAGTGGTCAATTGGAGACTGGAGAATTTAGACGCTTTGGTAACTTTTGGTTTTGAGGACCTCTATGAGGGAGGCGCGAGGCAATTTCTGTCAGCTAGAGCTAGAGGGGACAGTCGACAAGAGGGGACTTATTCTTGCACATTACTGTATCAGTGGTTAATAAATGATGATGCATCAATTGTGATTTACCATGTCACAAAACAAGAAAAAAGAAAAAGGCGACCATAGGGTGTTTCCCAGCCTCAAGAGAAGGACCCTTGAAGGAGGAGTGTGGTACTATTTCTATAACCTTGATGAGGTTGTGCCTTACATATTTCCTTCCGCTCAGACATTGGGAAAGACAGGAAACGACATGGTATAGAAGATGAGGGATTCGTGGCGAAAAATATACATCAGCCACTAATTTAGGAACCTTGTACTTAAGACTCATAGAAAAAAAACGCAACATCAGCCAGTCAGGTATAAAAAGGATGACTGTAGATCTCATTTAAGCCTTGTTCTTCATACACAGAGAAAAAAATACTTAGTGGTTCAACTACGAGGAAGATCGAAAGCGAACAATCAGCCTTTAGACTTAAATTTTTGCTTTTAAACACTGAACACTTGCCGTATAAAGTCAGCAGTATAATCAGTAAGTAAAAAATGAAAGAGAAGAGACTAATTACTCTTCATGGAACAACAATGTTTATAAAGTTCTGCCAAAGCTTTCGAAAGCCGTCGGTCCTCTTTTTAGTCACTGATATTTGAAGCCTCGTTCCGATGATGAAGCTGCAAAATCGTTCGTAATGCGAAGCATCAGATCCGATCGGCCTAAACCCCTTGGACAACTTATAACGTTTACACACTATTCTTTATTGCCTCTACACTACCCTTAAGTGAAATTTCTAAGTTTCTTGATATTTCTGCTCAAGAAAAGTTCATGAAAGTGTAAGTCTGTTCAATTTTTAATGAAAAAGAAAATTCAGAACAGTGAAAGTAAGAATCACACCTGGAGCGTAGTGAATGCAGTCCATCACCTATACCACTACGCCACTGAGGATCTGCTGGCGAGCATTGGTTTGATTTGAAGCTTAGTTATATAGTAACAACCCTAACCCTAAATAGAAGCAAACAGTTTGGAATGAGTGCTCATCCCTAATCATTATTTTCAGGGCTTAACCCTAATCAGCACAGTAAGTGCTTAACCCTTATCATTATTTTCAGTGGTCAACCCTAATCTGTGTTGTTTCTTATCCGTAATCACTATAGACAGCGCTCAAAACCGAAGCGATAAGGAATGCTAGGTGTAAACTTTATAAGGTGTCCAAGGGGGTTTAGGCTGCGATGGGATGCTAATTGTAATACGACGAGGGCAGGAATAAGAAGGCTTGTCTTCCTTAACGTGTTTGGGCACTACACAATAGATGCACTTATTTTCGGTGTTCATTTAGTCCAGTACAAGGGCCCAATTTTCTTAAAATTTTACCGACGTACTCCCCAGCATAATCTTTGTTCTTGATCTTTAAATTTGGGTCTGTCCAGAAGGAGATAAGGATGTCACGTGGTTTATAATTTACTGTGCACACCGTATTTTAATGTTCCTTAAAGCACTTCCACAATAATAAGGGAGCACAACAAGTTTCTTTACATAGTTCATTGTGGCCTGTTTAAGACAAGAAAGCTAACCGAAAAGACAGGCTGTAAACAGTAACACAAGATTGTGATAAAGGAGATTACTTATATTTCACCCAAAATGAGGAAAAAGTAATATATGGAATAAGTGCATTTGTTTTGTAGACTTCGCGGTCACATGACATCTAACATTGAAACTGTTTCCCGCCAAAATGTCTGAGCGAGCAACATTGCAAAAAACACCATTGCAAAAATCTATGGCGTCAGAGGGTAACAGTGCTCTGTTACCGTAAGCCTTTGTGGCTATTTGTATAAAATGCCTTACTGTTTGGAAAGGAGAATAAGATCTTTTAACATTACTGCCTCAAAATTTTCCACCTTTTAACAAATCACTTAAAGACTGTTCCCTCAGCAGACAGTTAATTTTGCCTTCCGAAATTCTCAGAAAACAAAAATAACTGTTTCCCTCGTTACACGGTATGTCAGCAGATTTTACAGAATATCTGTCCTGAAATATATGACAATGATAATGATGATGCAAGAGATAAAGACGCACTGTTTCTGGTCATTCGGTAACGTCTTATTGCAAAGTGGTTGAAAAGAACTAAAGATAGACCATGCCTCTTTCACGTCGATCGGTGGCATACTGTCGACGTCTGTGGAACGTCATATGACCTTCCATAATATGTCAATGTTCCATGTACCAATGTCTTTTTCCTGCAGGTCTTGTAGTCAGCATCATGTCAAAGACTCCAACAAAGACAATTTCATTTGTCAATCTCAAAATGCTTTTCTGGGCCATCACATGTGTCAAAGGCTTGACTCCAGGACTGGAATTCAAACGTTTTAAACTCTGCGGTAAGAGTTTATACAGTAGTGGAAAATAGGAGACAAGTTTTCATTACACATTGTAGTTTTAAATATATGTACAAAGCCTAGAGATTTATCCCTTATATAAAAGTTTAATGACAAAGCTATACATCATACCTGTAAATAGACTAGTATACATGATGTATCCAGTGTCAAGAGAGTTCTAAGCATGCCCTCTTATATATTGATGATCCTGGGAGCACTCCTTAATCTCATGGTTCTAGTGGCCCAACAAACTTCATTATAATGTGCGGTTACCGGCCAGTTACTTGTGGCTCCAATCACCAGTTGTATAACTTTAACATTCATATTCCAGAGTTTGAATTCCATACATCTCTCGCCAGGTCCTGAAACGTTTAGATAATTTGATAACTCCTCTAATACTCGACAAATGTTACATACTTCATTGTCCTCGTCAGTAGTAATAGTAGTAGTAGTAGTAGTAGTAGTAGTAGCAGCAGCAGCAGCAGCAGCGTAGCAGCAGCAGTAGCAGCAGCAGCAGCAGCAGCAGCAGCAGTAGTAGTAGTAGTAGTAGTAGTAGTAGTAGTAGTAGTAGTAGTAGTAGTAGTAGTAGTAGTAGTAGTAGTAGTAGTAATAGTAGTAGTAGTAGTAGTAAGTAATAAAGTAAGTAATAAATTGCTTTATTTGCATGACCGCATCATTTTACAGTACAGTAGTAGTAGTAGTACTAGTAGTAGTAGTACTAGTAGTAGTAGTAGTAGTAGTAGTAGTAGTAGTAGTAGTGGTGGTAGTAGTAGTAGTGGTGGTGGTAGTGGTAGTAGTGGTGGTAGTAGTGGTGGTGGTGTGGTAGTGGTAGTAGTAGTGGTAGTAGTAGTAGTAGTAGTAGTAGTGGTAGTAGTAGTGGTAGTAGTAGTAGTAGTAGTAGTAGTAACAGTGGTAGTAGCAGTGGTGGTGGTAGTAGTGGTTGTAGTAGTAGTAGTAGTAGTAGTAATAGTAGTAGTAGTAGTAGTAGTAGTAGTAGTAGTAGTAGTAGTAGTAGTAGTAGTAGTAGTAGTAGTAGTAGTAGTAGTAGTAGTAGTAGTAGTAATAATAGTAATAGTAATAAATTGCTTTATTTGCATGACCGCATCATTTTACAGTATTGCAAAAGCATGTATATGACAATCAAAATATAAAACAAAACAGCACTAATAATAATCTAGAAAAATTCGGTTACATTACTAACAATGAATCACGTATTTTCATGCAGGAGGAGATAAACTTCATAACTAACTTATTTACATGATGTTCCTTCGAATTCATTATCAGTTTTATGCTTTCCGGAGATGATTTCTTGTCAAAGTCAGGTATTATTCGATTGATTTGATTAATAAATGCCTGTCTCTGTACTGAGTATTTGTTACATTGAAAGATGAAATGAATCTCATCTTCTACCTGATTTGAGTTACATAAAGGACATAATCTATTTTCTCTTGGCAAATGATCGATTTGGTATCGACCATGTTCAATCATAAGTTTGTGATTACTTATTTTAAATTTAACAAAATTCTGTCGTTCGTCATAATGTCTTAGCTGGTAGAGAAAATCAGATGTAGAAGATTCATCTTTAAAAGTTTTATATGTATTGTTCAAACATGTTTATGAAATTGGAAAAATATCCTGAATTATTCATAGAATGTAGATTCTTTGACATAAGGAAAGACTGTTTGACTATAAAGTCATTATCTTGGTTGTTGAGGTAAACAAAATATTTCATAATTTTCTGATTTATAGGGATAAGCAGCGGCAATCTATCAAGTTCAGCTCTGCAAGCTATGTTAGAGGCCTTATTGTTAACCTCTAAGTAACGTTTATAGAATTTGAGGTGGATTTTTCCTATTGGGGAGCTATCCCATTTTTTAAAGTCTTGCTTGGTGTACAGTCCCCATACCTCGCTGTTGTAACTCAAGATTGAAAATGCCATAGTGTCAAAAATTTGGGATGCAGTATTAGGATTAAGTTTGTTAAGAATTGTCCGCTTCCGAATACTAGACAACGCGTGAAGGGCCTTTTCTTTTGAGTGTTCGAGTGCAAGTGTGAAGTTTCCCGTTGGAGTTAAACGTGTACCTAAATAAGTGTATTCTTGGACAATTTCAATTGACTCACTGCCTATGTTGAATTTGATGTCAATAGATTTTTTTGGGCGTTTCTGGAATATCATAATTTTTGTTTTCATTGGATTAATTTTTAGCTTCCACTTGTCACAATACAAGGAAAGTGCGTTTAAACAGTTCTGTAATCCAGTTTTCGATCTTGATAGAACAACTAAATCATCTGCGTACAAAAGTGAATTTGAATTTAGTAGTAGAAGTAGTATTTTTAGTAGTAGTAGTAGTAGTAGTAGTAGTAGTAGTAGTAGTAGTAGTAATAGTAATAGTAATAGTAATAAATTGCTTTATTTGCATGACCGCATCATTTTACAGTATTGCAAAAGCATGCATATGACAATCAAAATAATTAGAACAAACGGCACTAATAATAATCTAGAAAAATTCAGTTACATTATTAAACAATGAATCACGTATTTTCATACAGGAGGAAACAAACCTCATAACTAACTTATTTACATGATGTTCCTTCGTATTCATTATCAGTTTTATGCTTTCTGGGGATGATTTCTTGTCAAGTCAGGTATTATTCGATTGATTTGATTAATAAATGCCTGTCTCTGCACTTAGTAATTGTTACATTGAAAGAGGAAATGAATCTCATCTTCTACCTGATTTGAGTTACATAAGGGGCATAATCTATTTTCTCTTGGCAAATGATCGATTTGGTATCGACCATGTTCAATCATAAGTTTGTGATTACTTATTTTAAATTTAACAAAATTCTGTCGTTCGTCAAAATGTCTTAGCTGGTAGAGATAATCAGATGTAGAAAATTCATCTTTAAAAGTTTTATAAAATTCTAGTTTTTTTTAATTTTCAAGGCTGTGTCACCAAAAAGATAGATATTTCTCTCTCATTTCTGTGGTATATCGTCTAATATTATCACTATCTAGAGATTCAGCATCTAAACTGGTTAGATTGTATTGTTCAAACATGTTTATGAAATTGGAAAAATATCCTGAATTATTCATAGAATGTAGATTCTTTGACATAAGGAAAGACTGTTTGACTATAAAGTCATTATCTTTGTTGTTGAGGTAAACAAAATATTTCATAATTTTCTGATTTATAGGGATAAGCAGCGGCAATCTATCAAGTTCAGCTCTGCAAGCTATGTTAGAGGCCTTATTGTTAACCTCTAAGTAACGTTTACAGAATTTGAGGTGAATTTTTTCTGTTGGGGAGATATCCCATTTTTAAAGTCTTGCTTGGTGTACATTCCCCATACCTCGCTGTTGTAACTCAAGTTTGGGAATACCATGGTGTCAAAAATTTGGGATGCAGTATTAGGATTAAGTTTGTTAAGAGTTGTCCGCTTCCGAATACTAGACAACGCGTGAAGGGCCTTTTCTTTTAAGTGTTCGAGTGCAAGTGTAAAGTTTCCCGTTGGAGTTAAACGTGTACCTAAATAAGTGTATTCTTGGACAATTTCAATTGACTCACTGCCTATGTTGAATTTGATGTCAATAGATTTTTTTGGGCGTTTCTGGAATATCATAATTTTTGTTTTCTTCGGTTTAATTTTTAGCTTCCATTTGTCACAATACAAGGAAACGCATTTAAACAGTTCTGTAATCCAGTTTTCGATCTTGATAGAATAACTAATTCATCTGCGTAGAAAAGTGAATTTATTTTTTTCCCATTTGCAAGAACAAATGGGTCAGATAAGGTGTTTTCGAATAAATGTGGTAGATTGTTTAAATAGAGGTTAAATAAAAGAGGGCTTAAAATACAGCCTTGACGTACACCTCTGGAATATGAAAAAGGCTGTGTTTTGTTTTCACCGCCTTTTGATGGAACATGTCGAGTTGCAATAAAGACTTTTCATGAGGTTGTACAAGTTTCCTCCTATATTCGTTTTTAGCAGCTTATAAAACAATCCTTAGTAGTCATAGTGGCTACAATAATCGGTAACCAATCAGAGCGCAGCAAATTTGGTCTCGACCAATCAGAATCGCGCATTTCGCCCATGTGACTTTTTGACGTCACAATCTAGTGGTTTTGTCCACGTGACCCATAGGAATAAAGAACACACGCACACAAGAGTTGAATCCACATTGTTTACATAGTTTTAATGAGAGAAGAGCCTGGGTAGTTGAACGCATGCGCAGTTGGGCCCAAGGCGTTTGCCCTGCGCAGTCACGTGAATGGGATTGTAGGCACATGCGCAGACCGCCAATTGTCTCCCCAGGTCCCCCGCATGCCTGGGAGCCCATTTCCGCGTAGACCTACTGCGCATGCGCAAACCATGAAAAGTAGCCCCAGACCCCTCGCATCCCAAAAGTCATGAAAAACACACTCTATGGAGGTCAACATCCACTTTTTTAATCAACACATCGCGAATAGAACCTGGATGACAAGCGGGACGTGTGTGACGCCCAAGTGACGTCACGCCCTTGATATTAATGAATGAACAAAATAAAGGGTGTTTGCCTCTTGGAAGAAAAAGTCATGAGCGCTGGATGAGGCCATGGAATATAGTGGTTGTAACCCGTGAATGACCATGGTTTGATTAAAGGGAAATTTAATGCAGCCAAGGTGTCTGAAACGAATCAGAAGGAGGGGTGGTTAGATCCAAGAAGCAAACTGGATGAGATACAGTCGACCATTGGCACGCACGAGGCGGTGGTTTATTGTCCAATGATTGACTGGAAGATAAAAAACAGGCCTTGATTACAAACGGGACGTGTGTGACGCCCTAGTGGTGTCACGCCCTTGAAATGTTTGTTTACAATAATATTCTATTAAAATCCAGTCTTGATTAAAGTCAAAATGGTCTAGGATCCAATGACATTCTGATAAAAAAAATCAACGTTTTGGTTTGAACAAATGGAGTAAGCTGGACCAACCATGATGATTGACAATACAGAGTTTATGAGGGATGGGCCAGCTTCGAAAAATCATGACATCTTGTAGGATCCAATGGGAATCTAATGAATAAAATGAAGAAATGAACATCCAGCAGGGGTGGCGCCACCATGCAGACCTCCCCCTGCCGGGTGTTCAAAATTCCCATCCTGCGCTTTCTAAGATGTGACATCCCCAACAGGGTTCATGGAGGGTGTTCACGTGACGTGAATACGTCCAACATTGATTGCACACAAAGTATAACTGTTTCATCAGATAACTGTGGGTATATCTGGTATGACTGGTGATTATCTGGGAAGTGGCTGAAAAAGGCAAGGGATATACATAGCTCGTATGACAAAACGAGTATCTGAAACGGAAAAACATGTTTTCAAAAACGGGGTGGATAGCCCATGCCTTGCAACATCTCACACCAATAACAGGGCACGTGTAAATCTTGCACGCGACGAAAATTCAAAAAGCAACGACAACAAAGTAATTTGAGTGGATTCGGACATGGAAGGGCGACCCCTGTTCCAGTGTACCACTGCACGATACTGCCACAAAAACACCAGGCAGCGGAGGTGCCATGAACCCTGTGGGTGCTGAGAATGGCATGCGAATCTGCGAAAAAATTAATAATACTCTGTCTTCATGAGTAAGAAAGCAATGCGGTCTCGGAACCAGCGGCTGTTCTTGAGGTGGACACGCGTATCTAAAAAGCAGTGTCATTGCAGAATTGCATGAAATGTTGAACACAATGAATATGGCATCGGTGTTGCAAGGGAAGGATCCACCCCCATTGTTCAATTACATCAATTACATCTGAAATGTTTCATGAAGTTGGATTACGCATTTGACAGTGCTATAATGACATCTTAATTGAATGGGACGTATCCATTCTCCATACTGTTTTAACGTATAATGAAAGCCTACAAAGAGGTAGAAAGTGGACGAATCAGGATGCGAAAAAATTGGGAGTGCACACTCGGAATCCATTGCAAGTGATGACGCAAGAGGCAATGCGTGCCTGAA